AGCTAACGTGGGGTTAGCTCGTTAAATTACAATAAAGCCTCGTGCAGTTTGCAGCAAGCTCTCAAATCCGCCTGGTGATTGGGGTGACCGTGAACGTGGCCTGGGACCCCAAATACTTGAGTTTTCGGGGGTCTAACATTTGAACCATAAGATGTCCACTAAAACCCTTTAATTCAAAGGGAGAGCCTGACTTGATAACAGTCAAAGTCCTGTCGTGTGTGAGGACACATCACCGTCCCCAGGCTGCCCTGCACTTCTCTGTCCCTCTCTCAACTCAGCTTGCCCTTTCAACAATACCCCAGGCACAAGCTCCATACTTGCTCTTCCAATAGAAGGGCCTCTCCTTCCTGTAGGCCTAAGGTTTCTCCTCTTGCTCCAGTCTTGTCTCTGTGCTTCCATGATTTTTAAATAACAGAGGACCTAGGCAGTGTAGTCTCCCTTCATTCCTACTTAGTGTGTATCATATTATATATACACATATATAATATCAAAAATATAATACATCCCATAAATAATATGTATATTACAAATATATTAATCATCGTATTTCTAAATAGAATAAGATTTTCCCTATATGGATAGAAAATCATCTTTTTATCTGAAACTTCTCTTGATAAACAACACCTGAAAAAAAAAATCATGCTGTCCCCAAACAAAAGCTCTTGATTTCTTCAAATATCAGGACACTCTGAAGTGAAATATGTTAGTGACATTCTTTATAAGGTGCCAAACGTGATCATGCTTCCAAGTGTCTGAAGCTTGATGCACAAAATGGTTTCTATTCTGTAGTTTGTCAGGAGGGCATCATTGTTGTTTGTAAGAATGACATCATGCTAGCATCCTGTGTCATGTAAGGATGACATCACTGTTTGCAGGAATGGCACCATGTGAACATCCTTTGTCATGTAAAGATGACATCCTTGTTGTTTGTAGCAATGGCATCATGCTAGCATCCTGTGCCATATTGGCTTACAGACACTTGGCTCTGCTCATCTGATGGCAGTTTAAGATTGTACTACTTAGACTGAGGTTCTCTTTGCCTTTTAAGTTGACATGCTTCCCTCTTCTTTCTTGATTTAGCTTCACCAGGAAAATCTCAAACAATGGCTCCTAAAGTTGCTATTTCTGTCCTGTCTGTTAAGCTGGGGGAAGGGAGAACCTGGCCACAGTGGAAGGTGTCAGCCTTGTAACGGCCAAGCATCCATCACAAGACAAGCACAGCAAGCACCAGAGGTGTGCCCAGCCGTGCTTACAGATGTTGTATGCCTCAGCCTCCATTCTGAACACACAGTATGTACTCTACCCCGTGTGGGATGCCACACCACACGATAAACACGCTGCCCACAGCACCTCAACTCACGCTTGGTTATGAGATGCTATGGATTATAGTCCTTTTCCTGCATATACAACATTTTCTGCTCTTACGTGAGCGAAGTTTTGATTATGAAAAAAGCGTTCAATATTCCCCAACCATCATTACAAGTAAGAATCAATTAGTGTATCTTTGCCTTGTGTAATATCCTTTTTTTAAATTTCCAACAATTTCTGGAATAACCCTAAACATACTTTGTTAATACATATTTATATAAAGTGGTATTTTTCAGAATGGTCCATTATAAAACCAAACTATCGATCACCTCTGAAAAGCACTGAAGATATCCTATAATGTCAGATGTTCAGCCAGGGTTTAATTCTTTATGTAGAAA